TTATAAGCTCCGCCCTTTACACCTGGCAGTCAGTATAGAGAGAGCCACCTCCATCTTAGCTCCCTGTCAATCATTGTTATAAGCTCCGCCCTTTACACCTGGCGGTCAGTATAGAGAGCCACCTCCATCTTAGCTCCCTGTCAATCATTGTTATAAGCTCCGCCCTTTACACGTGGCAGTCAGTATAGAGAGAGCCACCTCCATCTTAGCTCGCTGTCAATCATTGTTATAAGCTCCGCCCATTACACCTGGCAGTCAGTATAGAGAGAGCCGCCTCCATTTTAGCTCCCTGTCAATCATTGTTATAAGCGCCGCCCTTTACACGTGGCAGTCAGTATAGAGAGAGCCACCTCCATCTTAGCTCGCTGTCAATCATTGTTATAAGCTCCGCCCATTACACCTGGCAGTCAGTATAGAGAGAGCCACCTCCATCTTAGCTCACTGTCATTGTTATAAGCTCTGCCTTTTACACCTGGCAGTCAGTATAGAGAGCCGCCTCCATCTTAGCTCCCTGTCAATCATTGTTATAAGCTCCGCCCTTTACACCTGGCAGTATAGAGAGAGCCACCTCCATCTTAGCTCCCTGTCAGTCATTGTTATAAGCTCCGCCCTTTACACCTGGCAGTCAGTATAGAGAGAGACACCTCCATCTTAGCTCCCTGTCAATCATTGTTATAAGCTCCGCCCATTACACCTGGCAGTCAGTATAGAGAGAGCCACCTCCATCTTAGCTCCCTGTCAATCATTGATATAAGCTCCGCCCATTACACCTGGCAGTCAGTATAGAGAGAGCCACCTCCATCTTAGCTCCCTGTCAATCATTGTTATAAGCTCCGCCCTTTACACCTGGCAGTCAGTATAGAGAGAGCTACCTCCATCTTAGCTCACTGTCAATCATTGTTATAAGCTCCGCCCTTTACACCCGGCAGTCAGTATAGAGAGAGCCGCCTCCATCTTAGCTTCCTGTCAATCATTGTTATAAGCTCCGCCCTTTACACCTGGCAGTCAGTATAGAGAGAGCACAGAGAGGAGGAGAAATTAAACAATGTTACTGTTTCTCCTCATTTGCAAAGTGTGCCCCGGCCGTGCCTTGTCTGAACTGGATTATGATGTCTTTTGATAAATCTTTAATAAAATCTTAGAAGACAATGAAGCATCTCATTAAAAAGTGGTTAGCACAAGGCATAGGTGATTTTCAATGTTGTACCGAATGGTGTAAATTCCGAAAAAGTTACTGTTTCTCATTAAATTAGCCTTTAATACCAATTTCATACATGTGAAATAGAAAACAGAAAAAATGAAAACATATTTTGTTGGGTGATGATGTGCAATTATGTAAATGAATATGACACAAAACAATTATAAACCTCTTTCATTACGATGCCACCATCCCGCCATCTTTTTTTCATTCATGTACTGAAACTATGGCGCATCAAATGGGTTCACTAAAACGTGGACAATAGGAACAACAATGGACAAGTGACAATGGTCAGGAATTCAAAGTGAATCAAAAGCAGCCAAATCCGAAAACCTGAGGATGAGGTGCGTGGTCGAAGAGCTTTATTCATAGACCACGGAG